TTTGTGTGAGTTGTTTGATTCTAGATTGTGATATAATAGTGGTATCAGAGCTATTGGTGACTAGATTTTGGTTATTGACATTTCAAATTAGATTTGGAAAATTTCTAGGGTATCAAAAATTTGTGGCTTTCTCAATTTTGGCAGTCCTTGACCTAATTAGGAGTCTATAGATCATAAATTTGAGAGAATTGGTGTCAATTAGACAAATTTGGGAAAAACTAGGGTTTACTAAATCTTGGAAAGCAAAGAACAATTCTTTGTTCTTAGGTTTGTCAATCCATTCAATCAAACCTAAAAACACCTCACCATGGCAAACATTACTACCCAAATGGAGATCACCCAATATGATGGGAAGATCAACTTCGGTAGTTGGAAGAAGAAGATGAAGACACTTTTCTCTCATAACAAGGTTGGTCTTGTGCTGGAAAAGGATCCCAAGAACTGATCTAAAAAAAAATTAAAGAAGAATGAGGAGATTGACGAGGAAGCATACAACCTGATTGTGATGAATCTCTCAGACAACATATTGAGGAAGGTTGACGGAATCGAAACTCCTCTTGCATTGTGGGGTAAGCTCGAATCCTTATATGCCCTACAATTTGCACCAAATTTTGCTTTCTTTAAAGGTGCTTTATTTTCATATAAGATGGACAACTCTTAGACTATAAAGGACAACTTAGATGAATTTCTGAAAATGACCTTGATTCTGAAAGGCACAAATCAAGAATTAGGAGAGACCAACCTTGCTATGATATTATTGAACTCATTGACAGATGACTACCGAGTAGTCAAGAATGCACTTCAGTACTCTAGTATTGTACCTAGCTTGGACTTAATAGTAGTAGGACTTAAAGCTAGGGAGTTAAAATTGAACGTCCAAAAACGAAATGATAGCAACTTGTTTGTGAGGGGTAAGCCTGAACCTAGCCAATTTGGAAAGGGAAATCAGTACAGTCAGGGGTCCAGAAACAAGAAAAGGGGTAAAGGGAATAATAAACAAAAAGCTGAAACAAGAAAATGTTTTTTCTATAATAAACTTGGTCACCTAAAAAAGAACTGTTTTGAATGGATTAAGAAACAAAAACAGGGCAACACAGAGAGTAATCTAACCTCAACAAAAAGCCTAATAGAAGAACCTAAGGTGCTTAGAGTGTCCACATCAGATTGTGCTAAGGAGTGGGTATTAGAATTAGGGTGCTCCTTCCACATGAGCCCAAATAGAGACTGGTTTCAAGAGTTTGAAAACTATGAAAATAAAACTATGTTTATGGGGAACAACCATGCTTGTAAGGTGAAGGGCATAGGTAGTATAACTCTAAGGCTTAGTGGGGGGAAACTCATAAAATTGACTAAGGTCAGGTTTATCCCTAAACTAAAAAGGAACTTTATCTCATTTGGAACTTTAGATGAAGTTGGTTGTTGCTACAGGGCTGAAAATGGGTGGTTGAATGTGTATAGAAACCAAAACTCAGTTCTGACAGGAGAAAAAAGGAATTGTCTTTATATCCTATGTGGTGATTTCTGCTCTGAATGTTTTAACACTGCTTTATTCTCTACTAACCTATCTGTGGCTAAAAAATGGCACCTCAAAATGGGTCATATGAGTCAGAAAAGGATGAACATCCTTAGTAACCAAGGAATGTTTGGTAAGGATTCAGTTTCCACTTTAGAATTCTGTGAGAATTGTGTTTTAGATAAGTAACATAGGGTGAGTTTCTCAAAGGGAATTCACTTAGCCACTAGCTATCTAGAGTATCTTCATTCTGACCTATAGGGGCTTGAGAAGATAAGGTCCCATGGTGGTAATAGCTATTTTCTATCTATTGTGGATGATTATAGTAGGAAAATGTGGGTCTACCTTCTAAAAACTAAGGTCCAAGCCCTGTCTAGGTTTAAAAAATGGAAACTTCTTGTAGAGAAGCAATTAGACATGAGAGTAAAAGCCTTAAGGACTAACAACAGGTTAGAGTTTTGCAATGCTGAATTTGACAAATTTTGTAGTGAGCAAGGTATCCTAAGGCATAGAACGGTAAGGAAAATTCCTCAATAAAATGGGATAAATAGGACCTTGCTAGAAAAGGTAAGATGCTTGTTATTCACCTCAGGACTACCAAACACTTTCTGGGGAGAGACCTTGGCTACTGTAGCCTATTTAATAAACAGAAGCCCATCCACTGCCATAGACTTTAAATGCCCAAAAGAGATATGGTCTGGTAGAAGGCCTTAATTTAGCCATTTAAGGGTTTTTGGGTGTGCAGTTTATGCACACACAATAGGAAGGAAATTAGAACCTAGGTCCACTAATTGTGCATTTTTAGGATATCAAGAAGGGATCAAATGCTATAGATTATGGGGTAGAGAATCACCAAGCGTTGAAATCATTGTAAGTAGGGATGTTGTATTTAATGAAGGGGTTTTCCCTTGCAAAGTTACTAACCATGATGCAGGCAGCCCTAATATCTTTGAAAATCCCATTAACTCCATTGAAATTACACAAATTGAGGTAGAGCCTGTGGCACAACAAGCTGATCCACCTCAACTAGAAGTTAAGTAACCTCTAGAAGCTGAACTAGGACCAAATGGTCCTGAACAAGAAGATGAAGAAGCTGCAGAAGACACACTAGAACCCCGACAAGATGAATTAAAGCATTACCAACTTGCAGGGGACAGAACTAGGAGAGAGGTAAGGCCCCTTGCTAGATTTCCATACGCTGAACTAATTTATACTGCTTTGCTTGCAGGTATAGAGGTGTTATGAACAGAACTAGACTCATATGAAGAAGCTATAAGGCCCAAGGAGAAGGACAAGTGGAGGGCAGCAATGGAAGGGGAAATGAGGTTGTAAGAGGTAAACAGGACATGGTCCTTGGTTCCCAAACCAATGGACCAGAAATTGATCCAGTGTAAATGGCTGTTTAAGGTAAAAGAAGGTATTTTATCTACTGATCCCCCTAGGTAGGCTAGTTGCTAAGGGGTATACCCAAAGAGGGGGAATAAACTTCAATGAAGTCTTTTTCCCAGTAGTAAAATATAAGACCATTAGACTAATGCTTTCTATTGTTGCCCACCACAACCTAGAACTAGAACAATTGGATGTGACAATTGCTTTCTTACATGGAAACCTAGAAGAAGAGATTTACATGTGCTAAGCCAATTGGTTTTATAGATTATAAAGTGCCTAAACATGTTTGCCTCTTGCATAAATCCTTATATGGGCTGAAACAGTCCCCTAGGCAGTGGTACAAGAGGTTTGACACATTTATTGTGAGCATAGGGTTTACTAGAAGTAGATATGATAGTTGTTTTTATTTTGCCTTAAATGAGAGCATGCCTATATATCTATTACTATATGTGGATGATATGTTGCTGGTTAGTAAGTCTAAGTCTAGAATACATGAACTGAAAAATAAACTCGGGTATGAATTTGACATAAAAGACTTAGGAAATTTTAAGAAATCCTAGGAATGGTTACAACCAGAGATAGGAAAAAATGTGAGCTAAAAATCAGTCAACATTCATAACTTAAGAAACTGGTAGTAAAGTTTGGAATGGTTGATTCCAAATTGGTTTCTATGCCTCTAGCCAACCACTTTGTGTTGAGTAAAACCCAATGCCCCAAAACTGAAGATGAATTGATAAGAATGGAATCTGTCCCATATGCTAATGTAATTGGATCTGTGATGTATGTTATGATAAGCACTAGGCTAGATTTATCATTTGCCATTTCTATGCTAAGTCGATTTATGGCTCACCCTGGTAGTGAGCATTAGGCTGCTCTAAATTGGGTTTTAAGATATATTAATAATTCACCTGATGTTGGGTTAGAATTCTATAAAAGACATGCTTCACTTGATTTGGTTGGGTTTTAGATTCAAATTTTACAGGTGATAAAGACTCAAGAAAATCATCTACCTCCTATTATTTCACTATCAGTGGAAACTGCATAAGCTAGAAGTCTCAGCTACAACCAATAGTAGCCCTCTCATCGACTCAAGCAGAGTATATTGCCATTGTCGATGTGTTCAAAGAAGCCTTGTGGTTGCAAGGGATATTATCAAAGGTAAGTTTGATTGAAGGGAAGGTAATCATCTACTCTGACAGCCAAAGCGCAATCCATTTAAGTAAGAATCCAGTTTATCATGAAAAGATAAAGCACGTAGATGTTTGATTTCATTTTGTAAGGGATTTAGTCACTTAATGAGTGATTGATTTGAAGAAGGTTGCCACCGAAGACAATCCTGCAGATATGGGCACAAAGATTGTCACTTTTGCCAAGTTCAAGCACTGTTTGAACTTATTGTTTGTGAAGTAGGCAGGGGTGGCAGGAGCTATGAGGGACTTGGTTATGAGCTTGCTGCATTAAAGGAGTCTCAAGCCTTCAAGGTGGGAATTGTTGAAGTAAAGGCTTGAAACGGCACCGCATTAGAGAGTTAGTGGAACGTTGTTGTTTTGGGGGCTTAGCTGAATTGGATCCTGACCGTTGATCCAACACCAATCCAACGGCTGAAATCTCACCTTCATGTTAACAGTATAAAAAGAGACAAATATCATAATCACCAAATTTCTCATTCGAAGCTTTTCTCTTATTGTATCAGTTGCTCTCTACTTGGGTTTGCAATTGTGTTCTAAAATTTGGTTGTAACTTGTGAGGATCTTGAGTGATTAGGCATTAGTCATTCGATAAGGGTGTAATTTCTCTTATTCTAGGGATTCCGAGTTTTAGTCTCTCTAGGGGTCAAGTTACGGGTAGTTTCAGGTTGAAGAGAAAGATTCTTGTGTAAGTTCTTGTAAGATTTGTAATAGTTGATACACTCTTAATATTAGTGCAATGAGCTCTCCCATTTTCAAAGCTCAACGTGGACGTAACTTGCTCAAATCTTGAGCAAGTGAACTAGGATAAATCTTGGTGTTCTTGTGTGTGATCTATTGATTTGTGTAAGTTTGTGAGTTGTTTGATTCTGGATTAGTTATTTCTAGAGTCATTTTGGTAACTTGGTAGTTGCAATATTATTTTACATAAAAATTTATTATAGATATTTGTACAAAATACTCGATGATCATTTAATGCGGTTGAGAAAGACAAACAAGTCAAACATCGGCATGTAACTAGAATCCAAGAAGAGGCCATGGTCGATGAGTTTGTCTGTGTAATGGTTGAAGAGCTCTTCAATGAACTCATGGCTTCCGAAATGTTGCTTAATAATCCCTTCAAATCCAGCTCTCATAAGCAACGCAAACTTCTCGACAGTTGGTCTTGTTATGTCTCCCATGAGGCGTTCCATTTGCTCCATTCTCTTAATCTTGAAGCACCCATTTCTCTGTATCAATAGCTCTATCTCCTGCTTAGTTGCAAAGTATAAGGGCAGGTTGAAGGAGTCCACTTTTGCTTCTTCCACCAAACCCTGCCCAACAATAATGTAAAGTTCATAAAATTTATTTTTTCTCGGGTGAAAATTTGAGATCCCTCAGACAAATCGTATTCTTTAATCACTTATCATTATATGTAATGAAAAAAGGTTTTGAAACTTCTCAAATGATTTGTTTATTAATTACTTCCAGGCCATGCAATTGAAGATGAAACAAGTTTCATGAGTAGAATTATTGAACAACTAATTATATATCCATACCCTCTTGGCGAGGTCCATTAGGCAAGAGCCCATAAGTTCCAAATTTGCAATCAAAGAACAATTTGAAGGATTTGCACCATGTGGTATGCATGGAAGGAGAAGAGCCATGAAACCTCCAGGGACAATCTCCATTGCTCTAGCTCTCAAAAACGACACCATATCATCAGCAAACTGAGATGCATAAGCCTTTTCAACATCCTCACTTCCATCTTGAAGAATCCTTCCTTTGTTCCATGCAAGAGAGCCTTCGTCTTGAACTTCATCCGGAGCTTTAGAGAGCCATTGAATCGAATAAGAAGAGTGTACAAAATGCAATGAGGCCTTGGGAAATAAGCTTCCATGAAACGTGCCAGGCACACCAGCAGCAAAATAGTTTCTGTCAGAAGGAAGAGACTTGAAGAGAGTGTTGAAATCATTCAAAGTATGGTCATTGAAAAAGACTTGAAATTCTATGGTGTTAGGGTTCAAGTTCTGGGATTGGAAATTGAATTTTATGGCTTCTATAATATTTTGGATGGTCAGAAATGTGTTGGGTCCAACCGAACATCCCAAATCTGCAATGTTGAAGGAATTTGAAGAAGAACAAAGCAGCTTCACGTCAAGCTTCTTGTTGATCTCTTCGTATAAAAATGTCTTGGCTATATCCAGTCCTCTTTTCTACAAAATTGAAAATAGTAGATATTATTCGTTTTAAGTTTAGTGTAAAACGTTTTTCATAGAGAGATTGATACCTGATATAAGCTGGAATTATTGGCATAGCTATTAGGGCCTTCTCCACCATTCATGGGGTAAGATTTAAGTGAAGCTGAAATGGAGTTTGTCTCTTTATAATTAGCTTCCATATTTCTCTTACTTAATCTCTTCTTCTCTAGCGAGCTCTTTTAATAATTAAGACCCTAAATTTCAACTAATTTAGAGATAAATTAAGCTTCAATCATGGAGACGTGAAATATTTAATTTACACCAATTGGATTCGCACTCATGAAAAGGACAAAATACTTCGATTTGAGGGTCAATCAAGATCTTTAATTTGGGTACATAAGCAACTTTTTCTTTTGACATCTATTATTAGCTTTCATATTTAATATGTATTGTATATTAATTCCATTGTAATCCACTCTCTTTAAGTATGCAAGAACGTTAGCTCGATTGGGTGAATTACTATCAAGTAAATATAGAGCAGTTATTATTACCAGTTTATAATCTTTTTCCGTAGTCTTGTTTTGTATTCCTTCAGTCAGGGTTAATTATTTTTTTTTTTTACAAAAATAGATAATATCACGAATGTTGTTATGGGGATTTAATAAGATGCTAAAAAATTATAAATTCACATAAAAACAAAAATAAAACAAATAAGGAAACGACACACGAAAACACAAGATTTATATAAGAGTTACGATCCACTTTATTGTTGTTGTGAAGAAGAAAAATTACAAAAATTTCTCACAAGCCTCATAAATTGGCTTTCTCTCACTAAACATCTTTTTACTGGCTCTTACTCTTTAATTGTGGTTTTACCTTTTATTCTATTCAATTATCTAATTCTAGGATTTAAACACTTTTCATAAATAATACATGAGATACTATTCTTAATAGAACTCAAAACTCATATCCTAATCGTAATTGTATTTCTAAAGAAAAACAATTTTACATAGAAACATATTAGAAAAATTCATATCCTAATATAATATTAATTTAGATTGAATTTAGCTCCATAATCTCAACACGTGTAATACATTTGATTAAATAATTTAACAATAAAGCTTTTTCTTGGTTGTTAAACGTTTAATTAAATAATTTAACCATAAAGCTTTTCTTGGTTGTTAAACGTTTAATTAAATAATTTAACCATAAAGCTTTTCTTGATTGTTAAACGCGCTTGTGGACAATTAAATCGAAGCACGTTATTTAAGGATTTAACCATGTAATTAATTAATCATCACCATCAATATTATATTGATATTACAACCAAATACCAATCAAAATCCAATACTTTCTAAAAAGCAAATTTATGGATTTATATTTATGATATTATAAGTTGAATAATATCTTGAAAACAAAACAAAAGGTGCTTTGTGGATAGGGATGGCCACGGGCCAGGTCGGGATCAGGGACCCCTATTTTCGACCCCGACCCCAAAGCCTAAGGGGATTCCCCGGCCTCGGCTCGAAGTTCAAACTGGGAATTCGGGAAATCCCCAAATGGAATTTGGGGAATCCCCGAATTCCCCGTTTGGGGATATTGCATCTCGAGCCTACCTTATCATTTTCTCCAAATTATAATATATATCATCCAAAAAGAAATTAAATTTATAATGTATATATTAAACATAAAGACCATCACAATAAATTTATAATATATGACATTATATTACAAATTTATAATCAAAACATAAGGAGCCAAAAGGACCCCACATCTGCACAGATAATAACATATTATTTATAATCTATAATCTATAACTTTTGTTTCACATTATACATATATAACATATATGTATTATGTATATTAAATAATACATTACATATATATAACACATATATTATATATATCAAAAGATACATTATACATATATAACATATTTATTATGTATTAAAAATATTTATTTTTTTAATTTATAACTTCATTGATTGATTTTCAGCTATTCAAATTAATATAGGATTAAATGGTTAAAATTAAACCTTACTACAATAATATATATATATATATATATATAGGGTCGGGGAAGTCAAGGCGGGGACAATTTGGTGACGGGACAAAATGGGCGGGGGTCGGGGCGAGACTAATCCCATTCTTGAATTCGGCAACTATTTTTTAGCCTAGGGCCAACCCAAGCCTCAAACAATTCGGGGAACCTCCGCCCCATTCGGGTTGGGCCGAGCTAAGTCCCAACATGGCAGGGATTATGCCCATCCCAATTTGTGGATCTTCAAATCAAAGAATAATTTTTGTCCTCTTCCACTATATTAATGAAAGAGAATCCATTTGTTTATAATATTTCACATCAATTTCCCACCACCTCCATGAAAGAAACTTATTTCTTTGTTTGATTAATCTCCTTTTGTCTCTTGTTTCTTGTTCGAGAGAGAAAACAATGAGAAATATACGTATACTTAATTGATATGTATAGAAGCTAGATTTGAGACGAAGATTCGATCTAATATAATAAGTTAGTTGAGTGTCATGAATTGGGAGTTTCACATTCAAAATGCTAACTCATTAGATGGAGAGACTTCCTTCTTATAAGCTCAAGACTTTCTCAATGCATTTCCGATATGAGATTCGTGATATTCTTCCCCACCCAATCTTGTGAAACTCTCAACCCGTGACACGAGGTAAACTGGGAAAACAAATAAGGTTATTCCAGTGAAATTAAACAAAAAAAGGGTTCATATACAATAAATAATTGAGGAACTATATACTAGACATGAGAAGGAGATTTAATTATTGAGGAGGAAGTGTGACCTTAAAAATAAGATATGTAATGAACCTTTTTGAGATTTTCCCTGCACGGCCTTGAAGATTATAAAAAGAGATCGATCTATTTAAATTGGATCTAATTCATTTTGGTTAAAATAATTCTCTCAAATTTTTTTTTTTTTTTTTAATTTTCTTTTCACTTTCTCTCTGTTCAAACGTTATCGTTCCACTTATATTAAATCTTAAAAATCATTGAAAATTCTTCTTCCTCGCATGGATATTGTCAAATTTTTTTATTTTTTATTTTTATGGGTATTTGAGGTATCCAAACTTCCCTTGAAGTCTGCCTAATCCTCAGAGCCATGGAATACTTTCCAAGCCTAATAGACCAAGATAATTATACAAATATAGTACATACCTCTCCTGTGACTCGAACACAAGACCCTTGAGTATAGCTAATCTCACTGATTAAAGGATTTGTCATCCAACTACAAGGGTAGAGGTAATATTGTCAAATTTTTCGTAGAAGGGAAATTCATAAACAAGAATAGTTATCATGTCACACCCTTAACAGCCCATAAAAGAATTTGGTTAAGTTAATTTTCTCAGAACAACATGATTCTATAATACAATTTTATCGAATCAAAATTTGATAGTAATGTAGGACTGGAACACCAATCATATTAGGAGCTCTATCATTTTAAAATTTATCTTCATTACTCTGCCGACGTGATCACATCAAAATTTCAAGCCAACAAAGCATAGGGGTGAGCGGTTCCGGGTACCCTGTACTTTTTCGGGGAACCGGAACCAGAACCGCACAGTACAAGTTCCCAAAAAAGGAACCGGAACCGGAACCGCACAGTACAGGTTCTTCAATTCAAGGAACCGGAACCTAAAATGCAGGTTCCGGTTCCTTTCCAGGGTACCCTGTAAAAAAATCAATTACCCCCCTACTAGTTTAAAAAATAACAAAAACACCTTATAAGTTTACAAATACACCCCTAACAAATTTTCGCTATTCATTCATTTGTGTCCAACGTAACTCATAACCTGTAATCTCTAAGCAACGCTTGAATTCAATCAATTCATCACAATTCACATAAAATTCGTCAATCAAAACCAAAACACAAACAATTATTCATCACAATTCACATAAAATAACTTCACCAAAATCATTTAAACAAACACAACAATATAGAAGTTAGAAACTATCACCAAGTTTTTTATCTCCCACTAATTTCAATCACTACAATTATAAAACTACAAAACAACCCAAAAAGCATAACATGAGTACATGACCCATGTCTAATGCCCAATTAGGCATGGATCTTCCTTCCAAGTGATTGAAGTCCAATCATTTCTACAAAAAATAACACAAGAGTCAATTAGTAGCTTCAAAAAGTAAAAACATTAAAAATTTATTTACTAATAACTTAAAATAAATTTAAGAGATAAGGATAGGCGAAAGAAGTGAAACAGAGAAGAAGACGGCAGAGTGTAGAGGCCAGAGAGAATGGAGAAGAGGAGAATTTCTGAATTTGTCAATTTGAGATACCCTATCGAATTGGGGCATTTTGCTTTGTTTGTTGTAAATGTAAAATTACAAAGTACCCTATTCTTTATACTAATTAAACATTCCATTTGCCACTTGCCGGGGTCTATTTGATAAGTTAATAAATTATTAATGTTTATATTATTTTATAAATTTATTAATTTAATGTTATAATTTGTTAATTGGGTATTTATAATATACCAATTAATTTAGTATTTAATATTAGAAACAAGTAATTTTATAATTAAATAAGTGATCATACACAAGTAATTGTAATGTTTAATTAATTAGTGATCATCTAACATGTAAATTGTAATGTTATAATTAAAGTATATACATTAATTATAATGTGATATTTAATTAATTAAATTGTTAATCATTTAATTAAGTATTATAATATTGTTTATATTAATGTTTAAATTAATAAAATTATAATAATTCGATTAAATATTGTGCAAATTAGTAAATTACTAATGTTTATAATATAATGTCATAATCAATTAAGTAATTTTTAATTATGTAATGTTAATTTATATGATCATATATAAATAGTTAATGTATGTTAAATGAATTAAGTATCATACTACAAATCTATAATTTAATATTATAATTAATTAAATTTCAAATCATTTAATTAATTACTAATGTTTATAATGAATGTTAATTGATTAAGTAATCATATACAAATATACAAAGTATTTATAATTATTAAATTTTTAATCGTTTAATTAAGTAATGTAATGTATAGTAATTACTAATGTTTATAATGTAATGTTATAATTCATACTAATAAGATTTATGTAATCATTTAACTATATAATGCTATAATTAAGTAAGTGATCATAATATAATGTAATGAATAATTATAATTTAATTGAGTAATTATTTAACTATAATGTAATGTTTAATTAATGTTTATAAGGTAATGTTATAATTAATGAATTTCTTATCATTTAATTAAGTATGTGCTAAATTTATATATAATTAGAATTACTAATGTTTAAAAGTATAATATCATAACTCATAATCATTAAATAATTATTTAATTATGTAATGTTTATTAATTATATGATCATATTAT